TATATCACCTATGTAAGAGCAAATAGGGAATCTTTTTTTTTATAAAATATTTTTATTAAATAATTCAAAATAGTTTTAAGGAATGAACGCTTAATGATAATTGAATCCCTGGGCTATTGCGAGTGGTAAACATAATTAAAACTTTTTTTATAGTTTAATCACGGTCGTCTGTGACCACGAAAATCGTAGTATTCGAAACGCCGCAAATAATATAAAAATAAAAAACGCAAGACTAAACCGTAAAAAGTAGTTTTATCTCTATAAGTGTGTACCTATTGTAATATCTCGTTCACACCCCAAAGCATCCGAAGCCTCAGAAACCGAATTATTTTTTTATGTTTGACAAATATCCTACACCAGATTAAGAGATTAGATTCTATTTAGTAATTTCCGTAGGGATAATATGAAATTTGCAATTTATCACACTGAATAACACAACATTATTAAAAGAGACCACAATTTCAGTTTGTTTAGATGTATACCCATATCGTAATTCCTAATGAGCACTCATTCATGGTTGTACGAGGCTTAGGCACGTCCATAATAAGAACGTCATGTTGCGCGTTTTATAGGACACTAGCGGCCCGCTCCGGCTCCGCTCTGTTCTTTAACAAAAATTTCAACGATATTTGAAATGGTTTTATTTTTTTAAATAAAAGAACACTTATTGCGGCATAACTATATTACTTAGACATATGCTGTCGCGACATTTTTTGTAAATAATAATGTGTTCTACAAATACTTAGTACATTATTTTATTCTATCATCAATAGTTTTCACAGGGAACGCGACGTAATGAATATTTTAGGTATTTTTTTATACCTTGGGTTACATTATTGGAGTTTTATTAAGGATCCCTAATTTTTTTCAAAAAAGATTATAGCCTATGTTACTCGCGAATAGTGTAGCTTCGAAACAGTGAAAGAATTTTTCAAATCGGTTCAGTACTTTCGGAGCCTATTCAATACAAACAAACAAATCTTTCCTTTTTATAATATTAAGTATAGATTGTTAGTGACAGCGTAATACATACTCGTTTGCGTCACGCTAGAAAGCGTTGCCAACATTGTGATGTACCGCCGTTAACAAGCCCGTATAGCTACCTACTTACAACCTTAATATTATTCTGAGAACTACTAACGCTATATTGTGACGAAAATTTAATAGTAACATTCTACAGATATTGCAATACATAACGAAAATTCATTTTGTATTTCCACTTGACAACTTTTTAACGTTTTCAACGGTTCTTGAATATGATTTGTTTTTGTTTTGGATATTAAGCATACATCGTATGTGTAAGAACCAAGAGCGAACCTGTACGCCAAATTTCAACATCAAAAGCAAGTCTGATTCTGGTTTTAACTCTAGAGTGTAATTTTAGATAGGTAAGTCATGTATAAAAATATTGTCCCAAAAATTATGGCTATAGATATGGGCATAACACTTAAGGTTCAATTACAATTTAAAAAGATCAAATCCTGCCTGCCTATTTTTTATCGGGAACCGAATCCACACTCCGCAACACATTAGTAAATTACTAACTAGACCAACTGAATAAAAACAATTTAATCAGAGACTTTAGCCTTTAACAATCCCTACTAATGTATTCTGTCAAGCTTAGGCAAGGGCTTAAAGAACTAAATATTTAGTTTGTCCGCTTTTAAAGGGTTTATTATTTCGGGTTGATGTTCAACTAAATTATTAAAAAAAATCTGAAATTAGACTTATCTCCATAAAGAATTGAACCTTCTTGAAAAATTCGCAAAACTACATTATTTATAAGACGTATTTTCAGTCCATGTATGTCATTTTCACTAACACACTATATGTTTTCCATCTCTCAGTATCATGTAGCGTGTTTGACACACGAATAGACAAGCAAACGGCCTGAGCAACCCCTATTCGGCTTCCATTTTTTGTCATTTTGCTTAGGAACCACATTAGTGGCTTTCAATAATTCTGAGCTTTAACAGTGAATTGACAAAATTAGCAGAGCATAGGTACAACCTTAAAAAAACGTTGTAAGCCATAGAAATGGTTCCATTAGATATGAAGACTTGTGAATGGTTGATTGATGATGTTTCCGACGTAAATGGTTGACTTTCAATAGGCTTTTGTGTTGGGTCACTGAACTCGATTTTACGAAAAGGCATTCAAGCATTCAGATTGATTTTTCTACCGGTACCAAAGCGGTCAAATCAAGAATAGCTTTAATTGTTTAAAATTTAACATGACACTGGCTTTCTATTTAGTTACCGACCTAAAGGTTGTCTTTTTAGAAGATACCTTAATGTCTAGTTTTTAAGTAATTTTATGCGTATTTTCAGTGTATAATAAGTCTTTTTTTTACCTACCTATTCGTTGGTAGCCTAAGAGGCAATTCCAGCTACGCCCGGAGGGCTCAACCTGACAGAAATTGCTAACACTAGCCCTAGCAATGGCAGTGATTCGCAGAATCTACCACCGAATCGAAATCGCGACCCACTGACGACACCCGGCGAGAAATTCAGTGGGCTGTGTCAATGAAATAAGTCATCGTGGCCTAACAGTTACGACGCCTCGTTTAGTAGTCGTATCGAGCGATGCTACGCCGGGGCACAAATCCCAAGGGAAAGTACTATATTTTCTAAGGAAATGCCGCATATTCACAAACTTCTTCCACGATGTAAAAATAATAGTGTAATTAAAAAAAAAACCGTAAATTATTATATTGCATTTTTTTATTGCTTAGATCACAGCCCACCTGGTGTTAAGTGGTTACCGGAGCTCATAGACAACTACAACGTAAATGCGCCACCCACCTTGAGATATAAGTTCTAAGGTCTGAAGTATACTTACAACGGCTGCCCCACCCTTCAAACCGAAACGCATTACTGCTTCACGGCAGAATTATGCAGGGTGGTGGTACCTACCCGCGCAGAATCACAAGTGGTCCTACCACCAGTAATTACGCAAATTACAATTTTGCGGCTTTGATTTTTATTACACGATGTTTTCCTTTGCCGTGAAATTCAATCGTGAACATTTATTCGTTCGTGTATATTAACGTACATATTTCATTAGAAAAATTGGTACCTGCCTAAGATTCGAACACCGGTGCATCGCTCAACACGAATGCACCGGACGGATGTCTTATCTTCTAGGCCACGACGACTTCAAATGTTGTAAAATTAACTGTCCAATTGTCCAGTCTAATCGCTGGTAGCCTAAGGGACTATTTTAATTGCTTTCGGCCTCCGTTTTCTACCGCAGCCGAGACCGCATGGGATTGAAATTACGCTCTATATAGCAACTGTAGTTGGACACGGGAACGGTCGGTACTCATTGATTATTTATATATGTTCTAGTTTTAGTAATGTTATTTCTCAATCGGTGATAGTGGACTAAAAGTGGCAACATCAAATCCCACAGGGAGAATCAATTTTTATGTTATTAGGTTGTAGGTACAACGACTATAGGAACATCTTCCACCGAGCGGGTGATATTGCTCGGTAGACCGACGATCCGAATGTTGTTGTTCGGAACTTGTACATATGCAAACTTATCTTGAAAATGTCGTAAGCGAGATTCAGGCATTTGTCAAATATCTTGTGTTATGTGATGGCTACCGCCACAAGACAATTAGTACACGTTTACGAATGAATTATTTAATTTAATATTAAAAAAAAAAACATATTTAAAAAAACAAAAACTTGTCCGCTGAGTTTCTTGCCAATTCTTCTCAGGACGGAGGCTAGTTTTTGTGAATTGGCGGTAGTTCTTTTGACGTTCAACAAGTATTTACTTCATAGACCTATATAATAGGGACACGACATATTGTTCTATACGTACTAATGCTTATCTAAATAGCACCCATTTTGAAGGCACACACCTAAACATATATCTATCTCTTTCTTACTCAGCACTGTAACTCGCAGGAAAACAATATAACCGTATTTCAGTGCGACATAAAATGAAACATGAATATACGTAAATGTCTAATGAGGCCGAAAATCCGCCATGCTTAGCGCACCAAATGTCATTGTCACGTCAGTTCGGCCGTCTGTTTTGGGTTGTACATTATTTATTGACTTTGATATCGATTTAATATGATTGCTTATATAAAATTTCTTATTTTATCATGCTTAAAACATACAAAAATAATAATTAAAANATAAATACTCGTTACTACCATACAAACTGTTATCCTATGACTATCAGAATATTTAATAAGATACCAAACAGCATAAGAGATCTTCCACTAACTCCATTTAAAAGAAAATTATATTTATGGCTGATAGATAAGGCTTATTATAGTGTGCAAGAATTTTTAAATGATAAGTGTTGTACATAATAAAATATTAGAATAAGAAGTGATAGAATGTAAAAATAGATAGATTTAGTAAATTTTGTGTTATAATTAATATAAAAATAAATTAAATTTTCGCATGCCTAAACAGGCGAAATATATGAAGCTATGTCCTATATCTTGTAAACTATATTTCTGGCGAATAAAGATTTTCTTTCTTTCTTTCTTTCTTTCTTTCTTTTTATTTGATTTGATTTGATTTGACTACCACCCTGCCTATAATCAGTAATGGATTCCAGTCGAAGGGTAGGTAAGAATATTGTATAGTGAACAATTGACTCTAGATCTTAGTGGGTGCGGCATTCGTGTTGTGATGTCTGCTGACTCCGGAAACCACTTAACGCCAAATGAGCCGTAGGTTTGTATAGGTACCAGTCTATAATAAAATTACAAATGTTACGACGCCGCGAGACGGGCTTGGATCAATGTCGAATTGTGCGATTGACCTACTAAGATATGGTTCTTCGTGTGCCTATGGATTATGGCAAACACCTTCACCGTTTAAATAAATATAATGAAGTTGGTGGGTGTAAATGACTTTTAAATAAATATCCACAATTTTATTACATTTTTAGGTTATATAATGTTTTTACTTTATGTCTTAGGATTAAGAGGAAAGTTATAAATACACAAAAAAGAACACATGGGAAACAGGTCTTTAGAAATTGTAAAATTTTCTTTCATGTTTCAAATCCATATAAAAATTCATTCAATGAGCAATACCCTATTTTTGTCAACCCTCACATTAGGAGCACTCTTCAGTTTTTTTATAAATTTATCAGCAATTCTATCATCAATCTCTTGGCCAGTAGCTTCACTATATTCAGCTAATACTTTCTTCTGAAGCCTTTTAAATGGGACTTCATTATCTTTCTTCTGCAAAACTGACATAATAACTGCGTGCCAGTTAAATTTGCCATTGTTCTCAGCATTAACCTCTTCGATTCTGGCAACATTCTGATCGTGGAGACACAAACTTGCATCTTCTTTTGCTTCCTCATCCTTCTTCTTCTTCTTTTTGGTTTTTTCTGCTGGCACTTTAGTTTCAATGTTATCAGCGACAACTTCAACAGCCGGCACTCCATTCAAACTATTAACTGTATCTTGACGTTTACGTTTCTTCTGCTTTTTAGTCTCAGTTGCCTCTACTGTGTCACCATTCTGTGATTCAGTCCTGTTCTTCTTTTTCTTACCTTTTTTTCCTTCATTTTCAATCTCATCCTCAACTGGGGGAGCTTCAGCACTATGCAATTCTGCTTCATACTTCTGACGTTTCTTCTCTTCTTTGCGTTGTTTTTTGGACAGCTTTTTTAGATCACCGACATCATTACCATTAGGATTTTCAAAATTTTTTACATCAGCATCATCATTCTGAGAGTTATTTTCTTTATTCTGCTCATCATTTTCTTTATTCTGTTCACCATTTTCTTTATTCTGTTCCCCATTTTCTTTATTCTGTTCCCCATTTTCTTTATTAGCTTCACCATTTGTAATATTGCCTTTATTTTGATTCTGAGTTACGTTTGATAAATCTGTAAGCTTTACAGAAATAAATTCCCAAGCTTGGTCAATGTCTTTTGGATTAGTTTTATGTCCACAGACATTTTTGACAAAATTAATAAACTTAGGCTTCTTTCGTGGTGTATTGTTATGCTTGCTTATTGTCTCAATAATTCTACGTACATTTTGAGGTGCACTTTTTTGCTCATCTAAAACTGACTGCAACATCTCGACCCAAGCATTTTGTTTTTTCTCACCCTTTTTCTCCTTAGCTGTGAAACCTTTTCCAGAGTATCTTTCTTCTTCAGTAATGCACTTGATATGCGATTCATAATCTTTTCCTCTGTAATAATGTAATGAAATAAAAACACAATTTAAAAATTAACACAGTTTAAAAAATAGAATATTATTAATGCCTTTTCATAAATAAACTAATCACTTCAATCAAAATGGTTTTTCATTAGCATAGCACCAGTAATTAAAACATTTCATTACCATGATACTACAAATTATAAGTCTGCAAGGGTTACTAGCATTCTGCCAAGTTCTGTCTATTTTGGACATCCATTACACAGTACAAATGGGACTTTGACCTCATGTCTGACATTTGTGGCAGTTATGTTCTATACGGACTCCAGTAATCGTTTAGAACAATGTAGCCTCACCCTAAAGTTAATTTTGGTATTGCCTTTTATTATAATCTCATTTTTTGGCTGTGGGGACCGAATTGATGCGCCAAGAATGCTAAACAGCTCATAGCAGTTTGCCACAAGAATGCCTAGTTGTCAAGAGTCATTGGCAAACAATAACTCTGTCTGTCATCTCAGTAGGTCATGCGGACCTACTGAGTTTCCCTAGCTAGACTAAAACCAGTCGCACTTCATAATGCTCTCGGCCCGAAGACGGAGGATTGATGCACTAGGCTCACAATGATTGCACTGCATGCCTCTGCCTTTTATTTTTCTTTCGGGCCGGGTGTCGAAACTCATACGAAGTCTCCGCGCCTACGGGGACGCTGGGTATGTGGGACTTGACGATCTGTAGATGCTGGAAGCAGTTCACAGGCCCAAGGATATTTGCATGCCTGGCCTGGCCCAACCTAAACTAACTAGAAAGTATCATATAACTGCTAGCTCATTATTTCGGAGCTATAATTAAAGTATTGATATCCAATCAAGACCGAAATACTCACAGAAAATCTTTGAAACAGTCCATACATGACAAATTTGGGTTTTTATTCCTACATTTAGTGAGATAATGCTTTTCCACTTTGGGCTTCTGAACAGACTCCCCACAATGACTGCATGTAAAAACAACCATTTCTTGTAAAACACGTGTGGATTGGGGCTATTTGTTTTGAATGCAAAATGTATAACCTGAAAATCGATATTGATATATTTGAAACTGTCGTCTTTTACTTTTATTGTAAATTGAAATGTACAAAGATTTGAAGAACCTTAAATTTAAAAATGATCAGTATTTTATTTTCACTCGTGTATGTAGTTTTATGGATTACCGTTTTATATTTTTGTAAACTTTTATGTGTCAAACTATTTTTTGTGTAGCAAATAGCAATTGGCAACAAAATACATTTTCTATTTTTTCAGTATGGCAATAGTGTCGAATTTTTGCCAATCCCTTCATTCCATTACTTCAAACATGATAGTGAATATTAGTGAAAGATGAGGCGGAATGAAACTGATGTAATAGAAATTGTAATCCATTGTAATCCAATTTAGTGAAATAACATCACAGTAAATTTGCGAGAATTCAATGAAACTTTAGAGGGCTTTTTAGATGATGAACACGACAAGCGACGTCCCCGACTTGCTTCATTTTCCCACACTTGTGCACTTTCACAAATAAAGGATTCTAAACGGTTAACAAGCCTTCAATATAACATGTTCAAAGCTGAAGAAATACTAAACAAATTTCAATTTCCACATCTTCATTTTTTCACGTTCCCACAAAGCCATAATACATACTATGTATGTGCATGCACAGTGCACTTAGTCGGCAATCGACATTATTATTGAATCCCTTTTACTGGCTTAAGGACTGATGCCCATACAAAACAATGGAACAAAGACAGACACCACACGGCAGCATACTGTGATATGAAAAATAAAGTGAAATTGGTTTTGGAGTGAAATTTAATAAAAAATGTAATGATAAAAGAGGAGAAAAGACAGTACCAGCAGGTGTTGGATGAGATGAAATGAAATAACATCTCAGCGAAATGGTGGGGATTTCACAAATGCTACAATTATAATAAACGGAGCGAATCCCCTTCTACCGTATGAAAAATGAATGACAAGAAGTAGATCAGAGAAGATTAAGACAACAGACAACTTCCCACCACACGATACATGTCACAATAATTGAATACAGTATTAATTATTGTGGCATTAGCATGAAGCCCATTAGCAGAAATATTAACCCACTTAAATGAGTAAATTTGACAATTAAAAAAATATCAGTACAATTTACTGTACCCTTTGAAGTAAAGTAATACCTATTAAACGAGTTAAATAATGTTTGATTAACTTCTGAAGATAGCAATGTTTGATAAAAAAATTTAAGAATGAAATACTAAGATGGATGATGAACGAAAACTGTTGATATAAGCTGTTGTACAGAGTACATTGAAGAACAATTAAAAGGCCTCTCAGCTTATTTATCAAATGTTTTATCTGTGCTCTAATGCCGGCCACTGACATGCGCGCAAATATTCGTACATTGTACGAATGCATGCGCGCAAATATTCGTACATTGTACGAATGTTTGCGCGCATGTGAAGGGCCGTCAAACATTCATTCGCAAACCTAGCGGCTGTGCAAATGGGTTCGTATACTCCATTTGCGAACCCGTTTGCGCTTCCTCCTACACTTGTTTACGAATGTCTCACGAATTTCTCCTCCTTTTTAATTCGTCAATAGAACATTGAAAAGAAAAAGAGTTTTGAATTCTTTCCCAGACATCATTAACAGCCATGCTGTTTTATGGGATTTCTTTTGATGAAGATACGCTACACAGTAGACGTCACGAACTATGAAAATGGTGATACGTCCGTTACCTTCGCAATCGTCGGCGCAACTGGGCAAGCGAATGTGTGGGAGACTACGCGAAGGTTCGAGGTTCGCGCGCTTTGATGTCTGTTAAAAAACCGACACAGCTTGAAAAACCACGAATGCAGCGAAAACTTTGCATAATGATTCGCAAATGTCGTCCTACACTTGCGGGTTTGCGTATTCATGCGCATGTGAGTGACCGGTGTAAGCGATCTGACTGAGATTATATTAAACTACCCACGGAAATAAACAACATTCTCAAGTTTTGGTATGGGAACCAGATCAATAATGTGCGATGGGCTGGGGCTTTGTCTCTTCCGTATAGGTTGGAGTGCGGGGTGAGACAAGGGGGATTGAGCTCGCCTACGCTCTTCAACCTGTATATGAACGAGCTGATCGGCGAACTCAGTAGGACCAGGATTGGTTGTTTCATAGACGGGGTGTGCGTAAACAACATCAGCTACGCAGACGATATGGTGCTGCTGAGCGCGTCTATCTGTGGCCTAAGGTAACTTGTTTCTTTGTGTGAGGGATACGCCAAATCACACGGTTTGGTGTACAACTGTAAAAAGTCGGAGATCATGGTCTTTGAGACCAGGGGTGGGACGCATGATAAAATACCTCACGTAGTACTCAACGGAACGCCATTGACAAGAGTTTATAAATTTAAATATGAGGGAGTGCATATAGAGTCCCTTCTTTATTTCGCCTGGTTGTGTTTTATGTAATTAACACCACAGTTGGAACAATATAAATTTTACTTTTGTAGCGGCATAAAGTAATTACATTAAATTAGTTATTTAACTCATTATAAATTATTTTTATGTTTTTCATATTTGGCGGTAAAAAGGTAATGTGTCACAGACTATATCCTTTTTCCCACATCTCGTGCGTTCCGGCTTACGCATAATAAAACGCCACAAATATCTCGGCCATGTGTTGACCCCTGATCTCAAAGATGATGAAGATATTGAACGAGAGCGGAGAGCGTTGTCGGTTAGAGCAAACATGATAGCTCGCAGGTTTGCACGGTGTTCACTTAAAGTCAAGGTCACCCTCTTTAAGGCCTACTGTACTAACTTTTACACGTGTAGCTTGTGGGCTGGATATACTCAAAGATCGTACAACGCTCTCCGTGTTCAACATAATAACGCGTTTAGGGTGCTGGTGGTGCTGCCCCGCTTTTGTAGCGCATCAGGGATGTTTGCAGACGCGCACATAGATTGTTTTTACGCTACCATGCGTAAGAGGTGTGCATCTCTGGTAAGCAGAGTGAGGGCCAGCTCCAACAGTATCCTGAGCATGATCGCAAGCAGGCTGGACTGTGTATACATGGGTCGCTGTGGTGTCATCTCCCATGGGATGTTACGACAGTAATTCATTGTGATGTAAATATAACTACTAACATAGGTCTAAGTCTTATTAACAATTTATATGAGTCATGGTTACTTGCAATAAAAACATTATTATTATTATTATTATATTTTATCTCACATTAACTCATTTCATTTCGTGCCATCCCATGTTTCATAATAATAATCTTTATTTCATTTCACTTCATATTACCATTTTTTATAAAAATAAGAATATAAATTAAAATAAGACTTGACCTAAAGGTTACCAGGGCAAAAAATAGTTTAAAAAAAGTTTAATGTTTGGGTGTGTCTAAATATTTGCAAACACATTTAATAACCGAAATTAAATTCGGAAATAAATATGTTTAGAGTGAAACTTGAACTTGATATTATGTAAAGTAACAATCTGGTACAGAGAATACAATGGCAGCTATTTTTTCATTTACAATTTTATGTTTTATTACCGGTAAGTTTGTACTGCAACCGCACCTTTACGCTTATTTATGATTTAGTGTAATCAACTAGATATAAACTGTTGGAAAAAAAAAATTCTTCATAATAAAAGAAATCGAAAATTTTATTCAATCGAATTCAATTCAATTCATTAGTTTATAACGTTTCAGCTCAAACTTCAGCTAACTACTTTGGCAGCGAAAATGTTAACAAAATAGGAAGCATCCAAAGGAAAGAAGGTCAAGATCTAATAACATGGTGCACTATATCAGCATTGGAACAAAAAAAATGTGAAAAACTTATGAAGAGTTCTTTGCAGGATAAAGGACTTTTTGGGAATGATTATATTGAGTTGCAGTGTAAAAAGGTATGAAATTAATTCAATTTTATTTCACGATTGATTAAGTGATAGTGAAGCAAGCTAGAATTTTTTTATACAATAATATAGTTCTTCTATACTGTTATTGCTACTCTTATCTCTAGTAGAAGTTGTAGTGGGAAAAAACTTTTTTAACTCCTAGTTGTAATTTAAAATTGACTCTGTAGTTTGTGCAGCTTCTTACAATTATATGGTGACATAAACAAATGTAAATTTATACTGTTCTTGTTATAAAAATCAGTTATTCTTTATTTAGTACAATCTTCTTATGAATCAACAGTTAAACTAAATATTGATAGGGAATTAATGGTTGCTCAAGAAGAATAAGTACTTGTACACTTGTAAATTGCTGAAAAACATCATAGAATATATCTGAGTTGTAAGCATAGGCTAGTGAGGCCTTCAGTAGCATTATGGCATGTTCTAGAGAATTGGCAGTATGCTGAGTATGCATGTATAATGATTCTAGGCTAAATTCCACCTCACACGCACTGTATGACAATAATTCACCATGGCCACACTATTTTAGTGTAACGGAATCCTACTTGAAGCAAATAATTATAAAATTAATCTAATCATAAAACTACACATTTTCTAAGTTATGATAGATATTTACAAAAAATTGAAAAAATGACACGGAACCTTACATATCAGAGTACACTACTGCATAGCTATGGCTGCAACTCAGTTTAAAGAAGTCGTCGTGGCCTAAAGGATAAGACGTCCCGTGCATTCGAATGTAGTGATGCACCAGTGTTCGAATCCCGCAGGCGGTACCGATTTTTCTAATGAAATACGTACTCAACAAATGTTCACGATTGACTTCCACGGTGAAGGAATAACATAGTGTAATAAAAACCAAACCCGCAAAATTAAAATGTGCGTAATCACTGGTGGTAGGACTTCTTGTGAGTTCGCACGGGTAGGTACCACCACCCCGCCTATTTCCGCCGTGAAGCAGTAATGCGTTTCGGTTCGAAGGGTGGGGTAGCCTTTGTAACTATACTGAGACCTTAGAACTTATATCTCGAGGTGGGTGGCGCATTTACGTTGTAGATGTCTATGGGCTCCAGTAACCACTTAACACCAGGTGGGCTGTGAGCTCGTCCATCCATCTAAGCAATAAAAAAAAAATGTTTTTATGCTTTGCACTCAACAAATGATGTTTGTTTGTTAGCACTTTATTTGATGAGCAAAAGTAACCTGTATAGTTCAAAGGTTAATTTTCAAGTTATAACAAAGTTTCTCTTACTTTAAAAATGCAACAGGCATTCGACATTGAAGAGTGTATGAAATGGCTAGAACAAGAAGAGGCTACACTGCTTGGCTTAGATGCAGGAGAAGTGTATGTTGCTGGCAGATATCATTCTCTTGTGCCCATATTACAAGAGGTAAGTTGGAGAGTTAAATCTTTCTTAATATTAAAACTCAAATATTTAAATATCATCTGCAATATTCTTCATATGAGTAAATGGAATAGAATATTTTTGAAAACTTGATAAACAATCTCATGGCCTACCTGTTAGTGCAGAGGTCATAGACAAATAATATCCAATATTATCAGTTTCATTACTTCGAATTATATAGTTCTATACAGGTTGTCCCACAATGGGTCATCCCAAAAATGATATAGTGTTCTATTAGAATAGTGTGTAGATGGAAAAAAAAGTTTCCAAAAAGTAAGTAATATGTACAAAACAAAAAAAAATATTCTTCTACCAACCCTTTTCTGATGTTTTATGCATCTCGTTCTGATGCTTAATACCAAATGAACAGAACAACTATTTTTTTATATAATAATTATTATTTTTGTTGTATGAATTCAAGACTATTATAGAACATTTCAAACAATTCGTAAATTAGTTTTTGTATGAATTTACTAATTACAACTAAGATTTCTTTTACATTTTAACGTGATCTACATTGTTCAAACAGAAATAACGTGTTCTGTTTCGTCATAGCCATGCCATTTCATAGCCATGTTTCGCCTTTTAGCACGCCCTGTATATAAATGAACTTACTTATTTCTTTACTGCAGTTAGATGGGCGTGGAGAACCGTACCAATATTCTGTTGCTGTAGTTCGTAAAGGAGGACTACCAAATATTCAGCCGGGGTATGGTCTTCAGGCAATGCGAGGAGCAAAAGCCTGCTTTCCCAGTGTTGGATCATTGGCAGGATGGGTAATGCCGATACATGTAGTAAGTAGCGTTTTTTTTACTGAAAGATTTAACTATCCTTTTTTATACCTACCTATTCGCTGTTAGCCTAACTGGCAACGCGCTGACAGGCAGGTGACCTGAGAATTTTCCAACACTAGCCCTAGCAAGAGTAGTGATTTACAGAATCTACCACCGGATCAGAATCCTGACACACAGAGAAGATCCGCCGCGAAACCCAGTGGGCTATGCTTATGGGTCAGTTCACTCATTGTTATGGACGAGTCCGAGATATATTTTATAAGCATAGATGACAGAAGTCCTGTATACATTGAGCTGTATCTTAATGAGTTTAATTTGATTCAACCTAAACTATATTGCCAAAATTAATATTGTACTTAAAATATTATACATCTAATAAACTTCACAGTTAATGCAAGAAGGTGGACTGAAGGTCACTGATTGCAACAATCACGTCAAATCAGCAACCGAATACTTTGGAGAATCTTGCGCGCCAAACTCATTAAAGGACCTCTATAACCCGATTGGGGATAATTCCGATAAGTAAGTGGTTTATTTTTATAAGCGGTACATTAAAAGCAGAAGCATAAGTCTGATCTACATTTTAGCTAGTTTTTTTCTTTCACAAATCTCCCCATTAATTTAGACTTAAAATTTTGCATTGGTTAATTTATTTATTATTTTAAAATTTGTGTGTTTAAAATGGATAGATATCACAGTAGAAATAATCTATCTATATAAAAGTGGTGCTGGTGGCAGTAATTTTTATCTTTTGAACCATTGGTCGAATTAAACTGACAACTTTATTATATTGTACTAGCGACCCGCCCTCGCTTCGCTTCGGAAACATTAAAACACACATGAAACCAAAAAAAAATTATTTAAAAAAAATAAAAAAAGTAGCCTATGTTCATCAGGGACAATGTCGGCTTCTAATGGAAAAAGAATTTTTCAAATCGGTCCAGTACTTTCGGAGCCTATTCGAAACAAACAAACAAACAAATCTTTCCTCTTTATAATATTAGTATAGATACCTAAATGCTTTACAAACTCTGAATGCTGTGGGGGCCGCCAGGAGATTGTTGGGGGGGGTCATCATTTTTTAGTCCATGTTACTACTCATAATACACCACTCTGTCCCTATCTAAAGCTCGCCGAAACTTATCTCTCTACGGAAGGAAACGTAAAAGAAAAAAGTTTGCGTATCGCTTTTCTAGACCAATAAAAGTGTATTTCAGATCATTATAATTTAATTTTCGCAGGCTATGCAAACTATGTTATGGCGGTGCTGGTATTCGATGCACACTGGCCGACCCGTTCGCCGGATATGAGGGAGCCTTGAAATGTCTCGTAGCTAACAACTCTGGGGATATTGCCTTCGTACGTGACACCACTATACAGCACGCCCTGCTCTCTCATAAGATACTTGGCGGCATAACCGAGGATCAGTTCGAGTTGATATGCCGAGACGGATCCCGGAGGCCGGTCACGGAGTGGGAACATTGTAATTGGGGCAAAGTTCCCGCTGATGCTATCGTTACAACGAGCGCTGCCACACCTGAACAGAAGAGAAGGTGCTTTAACTCATTTAATAGTTACATAATATTAGGAATGCTATTTCTATGTTTAGGAGATCAGGACCTGGAGTATGAAATACAGAAAAAGGCTAGAAATGCATCCTAATAAGCTTGCCTCGCAACTAACCACACCGGACCTAATAAATAGGCTTAAAACCACAAATCCTAAGTCTTGATAGACACGGTTGACAGAGTGGAGCAGTCTTGATTGAGATTTTGCTTTGACCGCCTAACAGCTCCCAACACATCGGCTCATAGTCTAGCTGAATGATTGCAAGATAAAGAAAAAAAAACTATGTAATGTATTTATTGTAAAAAAAATATGTTTAGGTACAATTTTTCGGTTCTCTTATAATCTGTTAGTGATATTCATGACTAAAAGCAGTGTGATGTTTGAATTGCTATATAATTTTATTCAATGCATACTGTATTAAGACAAGTTTTTTGTGTGCGACCCGCAGTGAGCTTTAAAGGTGTTAATCTGATATGAATTTTTTTTTCCCAGGTATCAAAACTTCCTACAGCGCATCGTCCAACTGTACGGGGAGCCGAACCGATTCAACAAAATGTACAACGCCACGGTGTACCAGCCGAAGGACAAATTCGGGAATATTCTATCGTCATCTACGGAACCAAACAGATTTTCATACGATAATTATAATTTTAACAAGGATCGATATTTTGATAACAGAGAAACCGAGAGCGATATTCGGTAAATAAATTACTTTTTAATATATCATTCAGATCGAGAAGTTATGTTATAGGCGAATTTTAAATATCGATGAAGCACAACTTCTATAAATGCCTTTCGATTTCGAATACGCTGTCAGAGATTAACACAGTACATGGTAATCATTTTTTTAGAGTTTTAGTTGCAAGTCTCAGAAGTCACTACATTCTTAAAAAAAAATAACAATAACAAAAACTACATTTGGAATTTGATATGTATCCTGTTTAGGTATCCTGTTTCGGTAGGCAGCGGCTTGGTTCTGCCCCTGGCATTGCTGAAGTCCATGGGCGACGGTAACCACTCACCATCAGGTGGGCCGTATGCTCGTCTGCCTACAAGGGCAATAAACAAAAAAAAAAAAAAAAAAAAAATACTTAAGTTGTAAATCAGTCATGTGTTCCTGGTGGGACAGACTCTATACAGTACAATTGAGACTTAGACCTCATGTGTCAAGATGCACAATAACCACCGAACACCAACTGCACCATTCATCTAACACCATCTGATCAAACCAAAATTAGTCCTTAAAGTACCTATCACCTTTGTAACACATAACAATAATACATACCGGTTTAATGATAGGACCACAGTTATTCCAGTCCGAGTTGGATAGTCCACTTCGTGCCTCAATGGGTAGCATTCATTGACCAAGTGGTAAAGCTAAATTATTAATTAACAGGGTCAGCACATTGCCTCCATACCAACAGCGGACCGATGACACAGGAAGACCTATTGAATTACCATTTCAATTGTTCTCGTCGAATGAGACAACCGACTTACTACTACAGGTATTAATCGATACTAGCATAGTCTCTCTGGCAAGAAACGCAAGAAGCAAAGTTATATGAACGGATTTTACATAAATCCTATCCAGAATAGTCTTTTCAAACAAAATAACAGCGGCTTGGCGCTGCTCCTGGCCTTGCTGACGTCGATGAGCGACGGTAACCATTAGCCATCAGGTGAGCCGTATGCTCGCCTGCCTACAAAAGCTATAAAAAACTTCAAAGAGACACATATGGGATTTATCATCTGATAGAATAAGATAGATTACTTAGATGGGTGAACGAGCTCACGGCCCACCTGGTGTTAAGTGGTTACCGGAGCCCAGAGACTATAGTCGGATTTTTTATTAGACAAAGTCAACTGACGTTTGCTGTGTTATCAGTTTTTGATGAAATAAAAATAGTGTTGTGACAAAGTGAATGATTGAAAAAACTCCTGAATTAATGAAATTGCCTCGATTGTCTAGTGAATAGTTAGTGTGCCGAATTGCCGATATCGGGTACGGGGTTCGAATTTTAGCCGTGCTTTGTACATACCAACGAGTTTCCGACGAAATATTATGTTCTTATAGTATCTACCTGTACTGAATACCGAGTGTTTTAAACATTAAGAAAAACATTGCGAGGAAGCTTGTAAGACTTTTTGAACTTATATCTCAAGGTGAGTGGCGCATTTACGTTGTGTATGTCTATGGGCTCCAGCAACCACTTAACACCAGGTGGGCTGTGAGCTTGTCCAACCATCTAAGTAACAAAAAAAAAACAAGACTGTCCTATTTTCAATACATCATATAGTTGATGGTATCAGCATCATATGGTTATGAAAATAAAAAAACTGATTTTAGTTACATGCTAGTAACATATATTTGGGCACTTCAATACAATTTTATTGTAAAATATAAATAATATTCTTTTATAGTTTGAAATGATTAACTCTTCACACTCATTGTTCATTCATGTGATTGAACGAGAACTGAACGCATCACTATTACTTTAAATATAGCAACATTATTTCACAAAGTGACATTAGCTACTGTCAGCTGGCTTCGTCTAATTAAAAATCCGAGTATAGAGTTCTAGAAACTAAATTTTTATAGTACAATAACTGCACCACCCTTCAAACCGAAAAGCATTACTGCTTCACGGCACAAGACGTCCTACTACCAGTTAAAATTCAATGGAATGCATGAAAAGAGACAAACATATACACTTATAGGATTTAGCTTGCGATAGAATGAGATACTTATAATAATAATAATTGACGGCCGTCTGGTGTAGTGGTAAGTGACATGGTCACTCCACCAGGGGGTCGCGGGTTCGAATCCCGCCAAGGGGAGATATTTGTATGATAAATATAAATGTCTTTTCCAGGGTTATGGATGTATATTAAATATATGTATGTGTATAATAAAAATCTTACATTTATTTCCGTTATCTGGTACCTGTAACACAAGTTCTTTACGAACTTATCACGGGACCAGTTAACGTGGCGTGATTGTTAGTAAATATTAAAAAAAAGCGCGTAGACCTTCGCTGCGCACATGTTTTCTTTCTTCTTCCTAAAAAAGCCTTTCCTTGCAGGACTCAACGATAAACTTCATAATATTGTCAGAGAGCGAACAGGCAGCTAAACACATACTGAACAACAAGTATGTTGGCGACCAGGCCGAGAAGGCGGTTATGGGCATTAGAGATTGCCCGGTGAAACGCGCAGCCCTATGTGTGACTAGTGACCCGGAAATGGACAAATGCGTAAAAATGAGGGTAAGATAAATTTTTTTATTCTTCTGTTTGTTCGCGGTATCTTTTCGTAGTGCCTGACCCAATTTAAATAAGTGGTCCATGCCACCCATGATCGAACACATGTGGTCGCGATCCTCAGCAGTGAGGGGACGATGAAGAAAAAAAAAGAGAAGATCTATACAATATACAACTGGGTATGGTATTAGCGTGTATAGAAACACGACCGCGCTATACTCAACACAAAAACCAATCAACCCATCACTAAAAGCGTAAACGACTTACGATTAAACTTGTAGAAATAAAGTAAAACTAATCTGGAAACACTTCAGTAATCACTAGTCCCTGGCTTTTTGGCGGGAACGCGAGGAGTGAAGTGGTGTGATTTGTTTTATTTTGTCTATTTAGTGTTTCTTCAGGTTTAAATGTGTAATAACGGTGGTTTATTAACTATTTAATATCCGAGAAAGTGCACAAATGTGGGAAAATGAAACAAAGCCGCTGGACGTATAACTTCTCGGAATCCTCCAAAAAGTCCACTGAAAAAATCTCAGGAAATGACCACCATTTTACTGAGATTATATTTCATCCTATATCATCTTATCTTATTTCGTTTAATTTCATCTCAGCTGATTAATTTGGGTTTTGTTCGTTTTATATTATTCATAAACTGTAAATAATGAAAACGGCGAATTATAAAAATCTTATTACTTAAAGCTGGCTAATGCACAAACCGTGCCGGACCCGTAAATGACCACCATTTTACTGAGATTATATTTCATCCCATATCATCTCATTTCATTGAATTTCATCCCAGTTGTTTAATTGATCATCTTCATTTCGTTTCACTCCATATTCTCTTTTTTTCATATATTTAAGATTAAAAATTAAAATAAGACATCATTTAAAGGTCTTAGTTACCAGGTCATGTGGCGGTAGCCATCATACAACGCAAGATATATGACAGATGCCTGAATCTCGCTTACGACATTTTCAAGAAAAGCTTGCATATGCTATACAATTTCCGAACAACAACATTCGGAGTAGCCCACTGAGTTTCTCGCCGGATCTTCTCAGTGGGTCGCCCCATCGTGGGGAGCCCCGTGAGCTCACCTACTAGTTAAAGCGACGCTGATATAGCCTCTCAAGGCTATTAGCTTAGGTAGGAAAAAAAGGGTGCGTGTACTTATGTACGCGCGTATGAAGTTATACTTTATTTTTATTATTATTTTTTCTTTTTTTTCTTTAAAATATTAAAACATTAATAATAAATATTTAACGTTAATAATTTAATAATATTTGGTATGAATTATATTAAATAATAATTTTGATATTTATATTACTAAAAAATGAATGCTAATAACACTTTTTTTTTACGAGTGTACATGCACGAAAGTTCACCGGCGGCTATATTCAGACTCGCCAAGTTACGTCGGTCGTATTGTAATGAGCGATTTAGTGGGCAACTTCATTTCTGTCAATTTTGTGCCACGGTGCGCGCGCATCGTAATATTTCACTCTCATCAATTTTTCATAACGCGCCTAAAGAAGTATAAATTCAAAAAAAAAACAACGTTCGGACCCTCGGTCTAATCTAAGATCCTCCCTTTGTCGTTTAAGCATCCCCAAAGTCATAAAATCACTTGTCGGCAGAGAGCGCTGAAGGCGGCGTCGCTGTCCCCCGAGCTGAGCTGCTGGCGCGCACACAGCTCGCGGCACTGCGCGCGCGCCATCGCCGCCGGCTCCTGCGACTTCGCGCTGTTCGACGCCGGCGACATGCTGCACGCCGCGCAGCACGACCGCCTCGTGCCCTTCATGCAAGAGGTAACCGCCGCCGGCTACTCGGAACGGAGCAGATTCGTGACGTCATGCTCCCTGTGTCGCGAACCAGGCCTTCCATAAGTTGCTGAAGTCCATGGGCGACGGTAATCACTCACCATCAGGTGGGCCGTATGCTCGTCTGCCTACAAGGACAATAAAAAATAAATAAAAATGAGACTTAACCGACCCCTATGTCTCAATGTGAATGGTGGAGTACCGATACCTACCATACAGCAGAAGGATCGAGATATGTCGTGAATCGCGCTGACGACATAATAAGACGCTCAAAATGAGATTGCGTATGTATACAAGTTCCGAACAATAACATTCGGATTTTCGTTCTACCGAAAAAATTCACCCTCGCGGTGAAAGCACTTTAACGTTTCCTCACCGACCATCATTCTCCTGTCTTTCTCCCTGGGGTCGGCGCAACATGCTTTCTTCTTCCATACTCCTCTATCATATACAATTTCTTCGCTCACTCCCCTCTTACACATATCGTCTTTCACGTAGTACATCCGTTCTTAGGTCTACCTCTGTCTCTACCGTATCCTCATCGATGTATTCAATAAATAAAGGAATGATAACAGGTATACTCAAGCGGCGATAGCTGGTACTACGCGGTGGCCGTCGCCAAAGAACAGGACCCGGATACGGATCTGACGTATCTGCGCGCCAAGAACACGTGCCACACCGGCATAGGCATGGCCGCCGGCTGGCTATATCCGCTGGCTTATCTGCTGTCTAACGGATGGATCAGGTAAAAAGAAAAAAATATTTTTCACGTCACGTAACATATTATAGTTAGGTATTGAATAACAAGGTCTACACTACTAACGTTTCCCAAATAAAACCTGGTTTAAGCCGAACCAGCAAAATAATATACCAGGTTTTCTTTTTTAATAATAATAATTTTACATAGTATTTTTAAAAAATTGTATATTTAACATCTTTTTTTATATAAATATAGATTATAATAATAACAATTGGGGAAAATCACACACTGTCATCTGTCCCCAAACTAAAATTCCCGCTGCCATGAGAACTAGAGAAAGTAATATCTTTATTAGCTTCACTTGGATGATTTCCTATATAAGGTTTTATACCTAATTTATTTATTTTGTATTTGTGATAGCCTATTAAAACTCGTCATTTCTAATTCAGACTGTACTTATTAAAATAAAATTCGCGATCAGGCCGTACGGTTGCAACGGGGCCCACGCAGCAGCCGAGTACTGGACCAAGTCCTGCGCACCCGGAGCGTTGAGCTCTGAATACGTGGACTCGGGCAGCTTGCCTTACGACAACCTCTGTCACTTATGTCATGGTGCCTCTTTCAGGTAAGCAAAAAGTTATGTTATATCTGGGTTCTTCGCTAGGAAAACCCAGGGGCCTACCTCTGAGTACTTCGCTTTAACCTCGTCTAGAGGACTTGTCATAGAGCACACGACGTGTCTGTAGTCAGTTAAATGGTTATAGAGTAATTATATAACTATAATGTCTCTAATTCTGGCAAAAGTGTTACAAAAATGCATAATCCTGCTGGAACTATGCAGTATTTGATTCAAAAATGCGCAAAGTATTATTCGACAATATGCGATGTTCGACAAAACAGGCTTCTTTTTTAATTAACACTAGCTGACCCGGCTAACTTCGTAGTGCCTCAAACGATAAATAAAAGACCTTAACTTTTGTATAAAATAAATTTAAAACAAACAAAAGGAATCCGTCTGGCGGGGGACACATCAAAGGAAAAACAAAATTGTTATTTTTTTTTAATTCCGAGCATTTTCATATTGTAGGAAAACTACGTGGTTGTGGAAGAAATAATGATACGTTTTTAGGATCACAATATAACTCGCATTTATTGGTAGAAAAATATAATAGTACACAGAATGTCAGCTTGACAAGTAGTACAGAGTACAGCGCCCCAGGCGTAAGACAAAGGGAAACTAAAATGGCTGCATTCCATTTCTCTAACACCCTCCCTTGGAATGCAACCCCATTTTCGTTAAACAATACAAATGTTTATCAACACTAGTACCCTTAGTTAAATTATCAGCTATCATTTTCTCACCCTTTATATAACAATACTTTATATCTAAGTTGCTGACATGGTCTTTGAGAAAATGATAACGAATATCAATATGTTTTGATCTGGGTAAATAACAATAATTATTTGATAATTTTATAGCACTCTGATTATCACAAAAGATGATGAGAGGGTTGTTCTTCTGTTGACCGAGCTCGGTATGTAATTGTTGAAGCCACAACGCTTCCTGCGCCGCTGACGACATCGACATATACTCGGCTTCAGCAGTGGAGAGAGCAACAGTCTGTTGCTTTTGAGAGCGCCAAGATATAGCACCATCCTGTAACATAAATACGTAACCAGTGGACGACTTACGATCACGTACATCGCTCGCCCAGTCGGCATCACAATATCCTGTGATGTTCTCATTACCATCTTTGGTATAAACTAATTTCAAATCTTTTGTACCCTGCAAATATCTAAAAATTCTTTTCACAGCTGTCCAATGTGCAGCAGTATAATCCTTGTTGAATCTGCTCATTGTATTTACTGCAAATGATATATCCGGCCGGGTACCTTGAGCCAAATACAACAAAGAGCCAATTGCCTGTTGATATGGACAGTCAATCAATCCATCCTCTTCCTTCTTCTCATTGAATTTCATACCAACTTCAAAAGGTGATCTTACAGGTTTACAGTCAGACATTCTGAACCTTGCTAACATCTCTTTTATATATTTTTCTTGATCTATCATTACTTTACCTCCATCTCTGGTAATCCGCAAACCTAAGCAATAGCTTGTCGAACCAATATCCTTCATTTCAAAGTGTTCCTTTAACTTTTCTTTCAACAAATTTTTTGTTTTCTTTTGAGAAGTCAACAAAATTAAATCATCGACCCAGATAGCTATAAATGTGTTTTTCTCTGCATTATAATAGATACAAGGATCTGTTCTTGATTGTTGCATACCTAACTCATGTAGTACACAATTTAATTTCAGGTTCCACAGTCTACTGGCCTGTTTAAGACCATAAATAGATTTATGTAACTTACATACCTTAGACCCTTGCTTATACTGTTCTGGCTGCACCATATAGATCTCAGTATCAATTTCTCCTTGTAGAAAGGCCGATACCGCATCCATTTGATCTATATCCAATCCATATTTAGCCGTTAAAGCAAATAAGTAGCGAATAGTTGTGTACCTGACAACTGGAGAGTATGTTTCCTCATAATCGGTGCCCTTTCTTTGAGCATAGCCTTTTATTACAAGTCTTGCCTTGTAACGGGTGACATTTCCATTTTGGTCTGTTTTAATTTTGAATACCCACTTGCATGGGAGAGCCTTTTTACCTGGAGGAAGTTCTGTCAATGACCAAGTTTTATTTTTCATAAGGGAACTATATTCTTCATCCATGGCTCTCTTCCATTCTGCAGCTTGTGAAGATGTCAGTACCTCCTCAACTGTTTGTGGATCAGTCAAATCTGAATACAAACACAATAGGCTCGTTTTGCCATCCTGTGTATCACATTGTTTATTTCGTTGCCTTAATGTTATACTACTACTATAGTCTTGTCTTATCGGATAAGGCGGGTGATAAGTGGCATCTAGTTCCCCAGTGTCAGTGTCATACTCACTTGAGTCTTCACTATCACCTTTTCGTATATTTGAGTCTTTACTAGACATTAAAGGTGCAGTTGCAGATGACTCCT